TAACAAAGCAAAAAACGATGAATTTGAAGAAAATTTTTTGAACCCTAACTATAAAATCGGAGAAATTACAAGCCTAAAGCTTCAAACTTTTTCGAAATTGATACTACAGTTGAATGCTTTGACAAGTAAAATCAAGTTTTAAGCTAATTTGGGAGAGAATGAAGGAATATGCAATTGAAAATTGAGAAAAAGAGAGTTTGATTTTGGGAGAGGATGAGATTATACCATTGGGGATTAATTATAGCTGATTTGGACTCACACGTGTACTTTTCTTCAGCTTTTGACGTTTTATTTTCTCTTCTTACGCGCCTAAGGGAGTTGTTCTCACCTTCTTCGACATGTCAGCAAATAAGGGTGAGATAATATGTAAAAAAAAAATGTCCATGGGGTAATAGGACCCCCGTAAAGTATGAGTGCGTAGTTGGGAATCCGGCTATAGGTTGGGGAGGGGGGGGGGTTTGGCCATTTTCTCATCATAATTATCTAATACACATTTTTAGGGATTTTTTACTTTTCAAATAAACCTTTTTTACTGTCACACGTCAACTATCCACCCCCACCACGTTTCTATCCAATTCTCACGTTATTACCCCCACGTTCCAACAATAAGAATTCTTCTCTCACCAAATTCATCTTCTTTTTTCCCATTCAATCATAAATCTCGCTCATCATATTCTTCTCTATTCACTCAAAAGAGAATCAAATCTTCATCAAAGTACTAAGAAACTAGATCAACATGTCGAAGAACATTTCTAGAAAGAGCCCAGATTAGTAGAAATGAGTTCTAATGTTGATTTTGAGGCTCCAACTTTTAACATATTGCCTCAAATTTGATGCCGACCAACAAGAATGCAAATCCGATGAACAGGTGTGTTACCCCTCAAAAGAATAAACAAAGCCCAAAAAAGGAATAAAAGAGCAAAGAAAATTGTAACCCCTCCTTCAAATTGGAAGGGACAAAAGAGAAAAGGAAAAATCGTGAAAACCCCTTTGAATTCTGACTCAAATTTTGTAAGCGAGAATAAAACAAAAAAAATTAACAATTGTGGATATGGGTCAGTCATCAAAACCCTCCAAAAGCAGAGCAACAATGGACAATGATTCGGAAATTCGAAAGTTAAAAAAGGGCAAAAGTTATGAGGGTAAATTTTTTATTTAAATTATTTTCTTAATTATTCTATTTTTATTTCATTCATTTTTTAAAATTGTTTCCTGAACGAAGTGCAACAATGTGTATAAAATTTATATGAATTTGTATTATATACTTCACATCTTTTTTTTTAATTTGGTATCCAATCATCTGAATGAGTATATGTTTGGCATGAAATTGGTATGATTTCTTGCATCAATATATATATGCATTGACATAAAGTTGATATAAATTTGGTCGGTCTTTTCTAACATTTGTATATATTTTGGAGTTTTAATGAAGTTGATGAAATGCTACACTGGTTAGTAAGAATTATTTTTTTCAAACTGTTTCTTTATGCATATTATTTTGGCATGGAGTTTGTTTAAAGTTGACATGAAATTGCTATGATTTATGCATCTACATGTATATGCCTTTTCATGAAATTGAGATAATATTGTGGCATTATGGAAGAAGCAAGACCGATGATGACTCAACTAGTGAGAGTGAAGTAACTGGAACTGTTGCTAGCAAGTTTGGTGGACCCCGGATAGCAAAAGAATATGCTCCAGATACTACCAATTATCCTACACCAAAATCATAGAAACAAAATTTGAAATAGTTGATTGTACCTTAGACTCTTAATCATTACACGTGGTTTAATTTTTGGATGATGTATATTTCTTTTTGCTACCATTTTTTATAATAATATAATCTGCTATGTTTTTCATTGTTAGATTTATTATTTCCAGTTGGATACCAACTTCATAAATCTTTGGTAGTCTTTAGCTTAAATTTTCGAGTTTGATAACAAGTGTACACATATTGGATATCAACATTAGTCGAAGTTATATTAAATTTTTAGTTTTGAAAAACAACTCATAAACATAGTATACAACAATTCTATACAATGTTACACTTAAGTTTTCCAAATCAATATCAATGTGATACAACATTAACTAGTTTTAGATTGACTAATTTGTTGAAATCTCAATTACATCTTTTTGCTACGGTTTTTTGACAACAATATAATAACTTGTTTTTTTAATTTTTCAAGTGGGATACCAATTTGATACCAAATGCATATGAATTGGATACAATAATAATTAGTTTTAGGTTGACTAATTTGGTTGAAATATCAATTTCATCTTGATATTTTTATTTATCTAATGGGACATCAGGTGGAAACCAAATAGACACCAATCGAAAATTACATTAAATAATTTTTGGGTGGCTTACTTTGTATCCAATTGATCTCCAAATTGAAAATTAAGAATAACACCAAATTGGTGTCCAATTTGTATAGATTTGGTATCCATATAGGAAGAATAAATCCGACAATATAAATTACCTCATACACATAATATATAATAATTTTTTTCTTTTTTCCCACTGGCATACCACTTGTACACCAAATGCATACCAATTGAAAATTACATTAATTCAAATATTAATTACATGCTTTTAAAATCAGTGGGACTTCAATCGCATACCAAATGGATATCATTTTCATATTTAAATTTGTATTGGTTATTCTAATAGTGTTACCAATTGCATAGCAGCATGAATTGATAAGGGTTTCACTTTATATTTGAAAAACAATAAATACACAAAAACGATTAAGTAGTACACATAATAAATGTTCTTAAATTATAATTCATTAGCTTAAAGGACAAAATAAATCAAAACATGAGTTTGTCACAATTAAACAATCAAATCAAAATTAAAATAAATTATGATTTTTTTTTTGCTACAACGTAATTTGGACATGTTTTCATGTTGTGTTCTTCCCGACGACATGTAATGCACGTAACTGTAGACCTCTTGAATTTCACATCAGCAAACCCCTTCCAACGTTGAAGTTGTGGTCTCCCTACAATTCTTTTTGAACCAGGCGGCAACAATTTTATGCTCCAACACATAACTTGGTATATCCACATTTTATATACCTATTTCAAGCAAAAAAGTCATCACTGATTCATACAACATTCATAACAAAAGAATACCAAAATTATACCATTTCCAACTAGTAATTGTCATTTATTAATAATCAGTATACCAAATTTATTTCATTATTACGCCCAAATCCATACAAATATAATGCCAAAAAAAAGTTCAATCATACTAGATTCACAAATTTCATACCAATTTTTTGCACCCTTTCTATACATATTTCATCACTAATTCATAGCAAATTCATACCAAAAGAATACAATAATTATACCATTTCTTACTAGTAATTGTCATTTATTATAAATAAACAATATCCAAAATCAGAAATCGTACCAAAAACAATATCAAATTCCATACATGTTTAACATATCTAGTATACCAATTTCAATCAAATTTTACGTAATTTTTTAAACCAGAAACATACAAAAAATGAAAAATATTTCATACCAAAAACTAACACCGGTATACATTTAGAAAAAAATCCAATTTTTTGCAATCAATTACACAAAATTTCGGAAAAAACACTAACCTGAAGGATCTTTACCATGTTTTATTAATACTGATAAGAAACCGCCCATTACAAGAAAATACCGATTATAGAACAAAACAAATTCGAAGTACACGAGAGTGACGACTAAGAATATTGTTTGAGCGAATTAGACGAGAGAGAATATTGAGAAGAGAGAGAGAAACTGTTGATATTATTTTAAAAATAAACCTGTTTGAATTAACTATTTTGAGATAAAAAAGGAAAACAAATATTCTACTTTGTTATGACTAGTGCCGACAAAATGAGCCAATATTTTGGTAACCCGCCCAACCCGCCCATATTTAATGGGTTGGGTGAGTGATTTTTCACATGGATAAAATATGGGTTGATACCCATATTCAACCCATAAAAATATGGGTAAAATATGGGTAAACTATGGATAAAGTATGAAGTAGTCAAATGAGTTAAGCTTCTACCTTTTATTCACTATAAATTCATGATATCACTAAAAATATTGTAATTTCTCTTGCTTTTTATGTTTTTCTATGGGTAATTTCTCTTGCCTTTTATGTTATTCTATAGAACTAATTATTTTTCACTATAATTGAAAATGTGAAGTCTTTCGCCCTCCAAAAAAATATATTTTAAATGTACATTTCTTTTGTCACTTATAATTATATTTTTTTATTTGTTTAATTTTATATTGAATAATAAATACATAGTGTATAAGCAAAAAATGTATTAGCATTGACGTTGCTTAAAGTGCATTAAGCATGTTTTAGTCCTAAAATGCAAATTCATTTACTTTAAAATTAAAAATAGTTTCCCCTTGTTATTACATAATTTTATTTTATATTGAAAAGTTATAGGTATTTTTTTTTATTACTTTTATGATACAATAAAATTAAATGAAGCATTTTCAACATTTTTCATCTAAAAAAAAGACTTAAAATAATTTTCTCCATGTTGAATTCTTAAGTAGAGTACTATTTACTCATGAAAATATGGGTAAAATATGGGTAAACTAGTATTTTACCAACCTATTTCTTACCCAATCCATTTTTACCCATATCAAATATGAGCTGGTTGAATTATTATCCATTTTATGTTGACCCATTTTTAACTCGCCCAAATTTTACCCAACTCGCCCATTTGCCACCCCTACACTTATGACTCCTATTTTTATGCCTTTTTTAATTATCATTAAGATTTTCAAATTGTTTGTTATCCGAAGTTCCTTTTTTTTTTTTTTCAAACTAATTAATTTTTACTGATTTCTTAAAATTCCTTTTTAAATAAGTGAAAATGTTATAACCTATAATTGTTTATTATTATAACTTGAAAGTTAAAAGAATAATGTTACAACTTATAATTATTAGTTCTATAAATGTCAATTATAAAATTTTCACTATTTTTAATTAGAGGGAAGGCAAAAGGAGTCCGGCCCAAACAGCGAAGACATGTTATATATGTGTTGTGCATCGCGAACTCTAGGGTTTTGTTCCGTCTCCCGCAAAAATGGTATGCTCAATCCTCTCTGGTTCCAGTTCCGTTCCTTCTTCACAAGTATTGACATTCGTTTTTGTTTCTGTGTAGGCTCCAAAGAGGGGTGTTGCAGTAGCAGCAAAGAAGACGTCGAAGGTGGTGAATCCACTGTTCGAGAAGCGGCCAAAGCAGTTTGGTATCGGTGGGGCTCTGCCACCGAAGAAGGATGTAACAAGGAACGTGAGATGGCCTCGGAATGTTACCCTCCAAAGGAAGAAGAGGATTCTCAAGATGCGATTGAAGGTCCCTCCTGCTCTCTACCAGTTCACCAAAACCCTAGATAAGAACCTCGGTCAGTATACTATTGTTAACCTAATATCCTCTTGCGTTTTGTAAAAGTTAATTGCTGTATTTTTGTCGACAACATCAATGTCCATTTCCTTGTATTTGCATCTGCAAGTTAAGTCTCTGGATCTATGTTTAGTCCACGAGCTACTTACTATTACTGTATTATTTTTTAGCTTTTATACAAGTATGTTTTATGCTGCATTTTATTAATTGGAACTTTAACCAGAATTGGTGTCATGAGTTGCAAAGAAATATTATGAATGGAGTATTTTATGGCAACTGTAATATGTTCCCCTAGATGTTAGAACTATGCCTCATTGTGTACTTGAAGATGGTTGAATGGGTGGTTGTTTGTGCTTGACTTGTGGGTTTTTATGATTCCAATTTTTACCTCTCAGTGAAAGCTTGCAAAAACCTAGGCTTTTTTGCTGAGTGAGCAATATGGATTACATTTCCAGGCTCACACCTCTGGAACTGTGGCTGGCTTATTTGTAGTTCATAACCAAGTGGCTGACTGTGAGCTACTATTGTCCTTTTTAGAAGAAGTTTTTTGTTTGGGGAGTAGTAGAATTAGTTCAGAAACTACTACTATCTTATTTTGTTGGAATTCATTGTTGAATAATACATCTTGCATATTCTTAGTTCATTTTCTGGCAAAATATTTTGTTTTGGGGAAGTGTAGTATTTTGTAATACTTGACACACCTTTTTTATTATTAAAAGGCTAAGCTGCTGCCATGTACCTGTAGACCAAAATTGATAGTATTATTTATTAGCTCTCAACTCATCGTTTGTTTTGTTTTACTTTCTTTATTTCAGTGATACTGATTTGAATTTTTCCATTGTCTTTGGCCATTGAACATGCCAGCCACCAACCTTTTCAAGATGCTTCTTAAGTATAGGCCTGAGGACAAAGCTGCAAAGAAGGAGCGTCTTGTTAAAAGGGCTCAAGCTGAAGCTGAAGGAAAAACTCCTGAAACAAAGAAGCCCATTATTGTGAAGTATGGCCTTAAGCATATCACTTACCTTATTGAGCAGGTTTGTTTTGGTCTTGCAAATTCTATCATACTTTCTCAAGCACACATTTTTTCATCTTTATAGTAACCTTTTTCCATTGATGTCCTTTCAGAACAAAGCTCAACTAGTAGTGATTGCTCATGATGTGGACCCAATAGAGTTGGTTGTCTGGCTTCCTGCACTATGCAGAAAGATGGAAATTCCTTACTGCATTGTGAAGGGGAAAGCACGTTTAGGATCGGTAAGTACTATTAAGTCTGTTTTCTTAATGCTTCCCAACATATTAGATACTGATATTGATGACACTGCACAGATCGTGCATAAGAAAACTGCTTCAGCTTTGTGTTTGACAACCGTGAAGAATGAAGACAAAATGGAGTTCAGCAGAGTTTTGGAGGCAATTAAGGTATCTATACTAATGGCTAGTTTGGTTTGCATTTTGATGCAATGCTCTTCTAGGGTTTCTCTTGATGCTTGTTTACTTTTTCAGGCCAACTTCAATGATAAGTATGAAGAGAACAGGAAGAAGTGGGGTGGTGGTATCATGGGCTCCAAGTCACAGGCCAGGACCAAGGCCAAAGAGAGAATTCTTGCCAAGGAAGCTGCCCAGAGGTTGAACTAAGAGCTTGCTGTGATATATAACTGCTATTGGATTCGAGAGAGCAACTCCAATTTTTGTGTTTGGTTCACATGCTTGGCAATGTTAGAGATATTAGTTCGATAAGTACCTTTATGTTTGCCTTTTGCAGATTATTGCTTTGTCGAAGCTTAAAATTATAACTTTATCAGAAGTTCTTGTTAGATGTTTTGTTGAGTGTTTTTTTATGGCCGCGAATTACTCAGTTAATCAAGTATCCACACTTATACTGCTTAATCTTTGCTAATTTAGTGCAAACTCTTGTTTAGGAAGTACTGCCTTCCTGCTGTCCTGATTTGGGAAACGTTCACCAATTGTTCTATGCTATTATTTTTCCCACCAACCTATATACCATTTCAATTATTCTTTCCCTAAAGTCCGTTCTTCTCTAGACATTTGTGAGGCACAGCCTAGAGGATTTTTCCCTTCTTCAAAAGGGTTGAACCAAGGGGATCCACTATAACCAACTTTATTCATTTTGGAGCAAAAATTATGTCAAGAGCTTTGAATGTTTTACTACAGAAAGAGTTCAAAATGTTTGAGATGCCTAGAGGGTGTCCAAAAATCAATGCAACTTCTTATAGGAATATTGGAGAAGTATGAGAAGGTGTCCAAAATGTTTGAGATGCCTAGAGGGTGTCCAAAAATCAATGCAACTTCTTATAGGAATATTGGAGAAGTATGAGAAGGTGTCCAAAATGTTTGAGATGCCTAGAGGGTGTCCAAAAATCAATGCAACTTCTTATAGGAATATTGGAGAAGTATGAGAAGGTGTCGGGGCAGAAAATCAACAAGGAAAAAAAATGCTATTTATTTACACAAAAATGTGTCACCAAGAGAGGTGATAGCAGCAAAGGTAGCCACTGAAACTTTAAGGAAATATTTTCCTTTTATCTAATCAAGGCCGACTCAATAAAGTTGGAGCCTAAAGCCAAACTTTAGAGAGAGCCCCTAGTATTTATTTAAATTTTTTTAAAGAAAAGATTGTCACATTTATTTTTAGGGATTGTAACAATTTAAATTGTTTAGGAATTCTTAATTATGGGGAACTATGTTACATTTTTTCACCAACTTCTTCTAGGTTTTCTTGTTGGATGTTATAATCATCTAACTCAACTCTATTAGTGAGTTGTTCATTTAAAGAACATCCCCGTATTTTTCGATTCAAAATTTATTATTTATTAAAAATCTATCAAGTGCTCTTTCTGAGATTTATTTAATTCTTCAAGTTTTTACTTTTTCTCTTTTTTTTTTGTAATATGAAAATCATATTTTCTAGTTGACTTATTTAAATTGAATAAATTTTAATAATAACTAAAAAAAGAATATATATATATACTAATGAACAAAGAATATCAACAATTACAATTTTTCAAGAAAAACTACAAAATAAAGTTAGAATAATAAAACATGCTTCAATAATTTGATATGTTGATATAAAAATATCGAATAAATATATATATATATATATACTAATGAACAAAGAATATCAACAATTACAATTTTTCAAGAAAAACTACAAAATAAAGTTAGAATAATAAAACATGCTTCAATAATTTGATATGTTGATATAAAAATATCGAATAATGTTGCATTCCTTCAACATAATGATTGTTGATTGTTGCACTTCTTGAGATTTTGAAGAAGACACCAAAAAATAATTTTTATTCTTTGGTAACCTGTACGCAACAATAGTTGGCTAAGGGAACAGTTCAGTAGAACGAGGTTGGTTGTGGAAACTGATAATCTACTTGTGGAGCAATAAGCTCTGGAAGAAAATTTGGTGAATTACTCTTATTTGACTCTTTAGTTTTTGATTGTAAAACTCTTATCAAAGAGTTACCTTTTCTCTCTTTGTCGACTCTTAAGAAATCAACGAATCAGGTTGCTCATTGTCTTGCTAGAGCATTTGTTTCTATGTCTGGTTCGATGGAGTGGGATACTAACCCTCCATCTCTTATTACCGACATACTCATTTTCGATTTGAATAATACATGAAAAAAGAACCATTTAAAAAAAAAAACTTGTAAGCAACAATAACTATTTGAGTTGAATAAAGGGGGCTCCTAGCTCCGATATCAACCACTCCCACCCCCCACAAAAAAAAAAAGCAATAGTAACTCAATAAATTTTGTAGGAGAGACTTCTATATTAAAAATGAAAAAAAGCAAAATAGAGAATAAAAAAGATGAATACATGGTAAATAATCAAATTATTAGGAAATAAATAAGGAGGTACAATTTTCCCACACAAGGAAATAATTCCCAAAAATTATTCCATTCCTTAGGAAAGTGGAAATTAACCACTTACAATAATTATTTCTTACCCATTTTGTTTTAAAGAAGTTTAAAAATGCATATAATTTTATTTTTTAAATATATGCATAAGTACTTTTAAAAAATAAAATAAAAATAGGGGCCCTTAAAATATGGGGTCCCAGCTCCCAAACAATAGCTTTAGTGGCCTACAGGTTAAGACGATGATGTATCTAACCTAAGGTATCTCACTATTAATATGAGAAAGCGCAAGATTTTTTATCAACAAATGATTCATAGAATCAACACTAAATTGCAAATATGGGAAGGAAATTTATTGTCCTGGAGAAAGAACAATTATAATTAAACATGTCCTACAAAATATTCATATACATTGTTTATCAATGATGAATCCTCCTTTAAATGTTATTAATACCATTGAAAAGATGATGACCCAATTTTTTTTTGTAGTTGCATAATAGGCAGAGGTAGGCAGACAAAGTGAAAAAACTTATGCTTGTCAAAGAAGGAAGGAGGACTAGTTTTCAGAATTTTACAAAAATCTATGACTCTATTATGTAAATTATAGTGAAACTTCAGGATATTACCATTAATGTATAGTAGCTTTATGTATAATAAGTACTGGAAGAGGGAAAATCAGAACTTGGTGAAATGGAAGACTAGTTATATATTATGGATCCCTAATATGAAAAAAAGGCTAGAAATTTTTTAAAACATCATATATAGTGGCAAACAATGAGAGGAATAACTCACATGTGACATGATAATTTCTCAGATAGATTTTGGGGTCTTTGCATTCAAGTTGCTGTATATATCCTGAATAGGATACCTTCCATTATTTTAGATGATGTATCTCCTTTTGAGAAAATGTATGACAAACTTCCTTCTTTTGATCATGTAAGAGTCGTATGTTGTTTATGTTTTGCTGCTAATCTCACCAACCAAGATAAGTTTGGTCCAAGGGCAGCGAGGTCTGTTTTGGTAGGCTATGGATCCACTCAAAAGGGGGTACAAGTTATATGATTTCGATAATAAGACATTTTTGTCAATAGAGATGTGATATTCATGTAATCTGTCTTCCCTTTCAAAAATAAATAAATAGTATTACTACACATAATCCAATTTTCATAGTTCCACCCCAGACCTGTTTAACTTGGATGGATTAATCAAAGTTGCATCATCTTATATAGATCCTGTCCAACTTCCTACTCAAAATGTTGATTCCATATCACCAAACATTTCAGAATTTGAAGTTCTAAGGGCTAAGTTGGGAGTATCCAAGAAAAATCTCAAGGAGGAGTGTTAGAAAATGAGATATTTCTAGATGTCTTTTGTTTAATTGTTATTTTCTTAAATATTATGTTAAGTATGTAAAGGAAAGGTAGTCCTTGTTTTATGGAATATGTTTTGTAAGAAAGTCAATAGTGGGTGGATATGTATGGTCCTCTACTAACTTTGGAAAAGCTTATGTAGATATATGTGTGTATGCTTTCAAAAGCTGAATATGAATGAAAGTTTCTGCTGCTGAACCTTATTTTCTTCTCTAAAAGTTTCAAATCCTAACAGTGGTATCAAAGCCCTTCTTCTTGAGGGATCTGTGAAGGCAAGAAGGCTAAGGTTTTTTCTCCTTCTAAGGTGAGAGCTGAGCAGCAGTAACATGGCATCCAACAGCTTCTTGGGTGCAGGCCCTCCTATGTTTACAGGAGAAAATTATCACATATGGGTGATAAAGATGAAGGCTTATCTCAAAGCTCTTAGTCTATGGGAAACAATTGAAAGTGAAGATGATCCTCTTCCACTTGGACCAAATCCAACAGTTGCACAAATGAAGATTTATGAAGATGCAAAGTCAAGGAAACCCAAGGCTCTCACATGTCTTCATTCAGCACTTTCAGATGTGATTTTCACAAGAATAATGGCTTGTGAAACACCTAAAGAAGTATGGGAGAAGCTAAAAGAGGAGTTCGATGGAAGTGATAGAGTGAAGACTGTCAAACTCTTAACTCTCAAAAGAGAATTTGAGATGTTAAGGATGAAAGAAGGAGATACTGTGAAAGAGTATTCTGCCAAACTTATGGAGATTGTAAACAAAGTAAGGCTGTTTGGTGAAACCTTTCCAGATTCAAGGGTGGTGGAGAAGATGATGATAAGCTTACCAGCAAGGTTTGAGTCCAAGATTTCAGCAATAGAAGAATCTTGTGATTTGAAGACTTTATCTGTGGCAGAACTGATCAGCAAGTTGCAAGCCCAAGAACAAAGATCAAGTATAAGAGATGAAGAAGTAGCAGAAGCGGCATTTCAAGCACAACATAAAGGCAAGCAGCCTATGAAGGACAATAGAAGGATGGAAGGAGATAAATTAGAAAAGGGAAAACCAAGGAAGGAATCTTCAAAGAGAGGGAAGTTTCCACCTTGCAGCCACTGTAAAAGAACCAATCATCAAGAAAAGGATTGTTGGTTCAAAGGAAAGCCACCGATTCAGTGTAGATTCTGTAGAAAGATGGGTCATATTGAGAAAAATTGCAGGGCCAGGCAGAATCAACCACAACAAAAACATGTGCAGCAGGCAAATTTTGTTGAAAAGTCCGAAAATGAAGAAGAAATCTTGTTTATGGCTTCTCATGAAGAAAACACAGCCAACAAATCCTCATGGTTCATAGATAGTGGATGTACGAGTCATATGTCACACAATGAGCTCTTGTTTCACACACTTGACAAGTCATTCAAAGCTAAAGTTAGGATGGGAAATGGTGAAATGGTTGATGCACATGGAAAGGGTTCAGTTTCCTTTCAGACTACACAAGGTACAAAGTTTATACATGATGTGTTGTATGTTCCTTCTTTAGCATGTAACTTGTTAAGTGTGGCTCAAATGATGTCTAAAGGCTATTCCTTATTTTTTAAGGACAAACATTGTTTGATTTTTAACTCCGAAGATAGTTTGATTGTTAAAGTAAGGAT